TGAGAGAAATAATCGGGAAAACCTTTTCTGCTTGATTGACAGGATTAACGTCGTAGTGTTTCCGACGCCTCGTTTTGCGTCCCTTCTTAAACGCGAGCATATAGAAAGTCTAGCCGCATTCGTCAGGTAAAACTTCATCTCCTCATCCTAGTCAAATTAAATGCCGAAGCCGGAGTTTAGACCCAAAATCTGTGGATATCGACAAAAAATGTCATCTTCTCGGGCCGCTACTCATTGCATAGTTTCAATATGGCCGCATGACCATGCACAGATTGGAGGATGTTGAAGTTTTACTTCTTAAGGGAAAGACATGAAGCACGAAGGCGTTCAGGAAGTTTACAACAGCATTCTCCTTGTGCAAGTTTTCGGCAGGAATGTCACGTTCACAGCGATAACATCTTCAATAAGTGTGGACATCTACCACAAACGTGGTGGCCGGGTTAGTAAGATTATCCCTGCCTTGTGTAATCTTGTTTCTTTCAAAAACCACAGAAACTCTTCTATCCAACCCGAGACGGAATTACTCCGTAGTGTAGACTTTTTGGTTTCGATTGCATTCCCGTAAATGGAGTCAAGAGTTGTAGCCCACCCCATCCTATTTCCAATATTCACGAAAGTTGTGGTACACGACCCGCACTCCCATTTCTACCTTTTCTCAACTTACAGTTTGCTGGCAATTGGCGGGTAAGATAGCGCGCGCGTAGGCTGATGGGACTACACCAGTTGTGCCAAAATTAATTGTTACATATTCTGCAGACAGTTATATTTGTGGTCATTAATAAATGACCTGGTTCCTTAACTGGCCAGACCTAGGAACCTCCGTTTTCACTGAAAATCTCGATCACTCACTCTAGTTGTGTGGACAAGCATGCAAAGTTTCAGACAACGTTATATGGCAAAAGCAAAGCCACGGGAATGTTTACGTGCAGCTGGCTTACCCTAATCAGTCAGCGATATTTAAAGCTACTTTGCACGCCTGGGGTTTGAACCGTAGTTGACTTCGCATTGTGCTTTTCTGCGTCATGCCGATGTGACCTCACGCAGGAGTTACGTGTACCGTTTCCGCCGAATAAATGATTAAAAACTACTCCTGTGTGAATAGTAGACTTTATAAAGATTTCAACCGCTACTGGATTCTGCCGTGCTAACGCATGTAAGCTCGAATTCGCGACATTTCAGTTCACTAGAAACGCCTGATCTTAAACACATTAAGAGGGACGAATTGCGTTTAAGGGACTCAAACAAGTTTTCTCGGATAGCAAATGCTGCCGCTTCTAATGACATTCTATTTCCGCCTCATCAACTTTATCCAACTTACTTCGCTGAAATTTATTCCCTGTTTTTATAAGAGGACGCCGCAGCCGAGACTAATTTGCGGTACTTGATTATCAAGCTAAGCAAACACTGGTGTAGATTTTACGTATATGACACGTTCCTCCTGTCAAACATGCGCCGCAAATATGTCTTCACATTTCCTGCCCAACCTGCCCTATTTAAAAAAAGCGTATCACCACTGGGGTTTGCTTTGAAGCTGCGCGCGAAGTACTGTCTGGCGCTCTCACCTCCAATCGCCCAGGCGTCATGGATCAGTCTACCCGTCCTGTTGGCCCGCTGTTGCGTCCTCTCTTTACGACCTCGAGAGCAATGAATGTTTATTTACCGCGCTTTCACCTCGAAAGCGTGTGCATGCAATCCCTTTTATTGCCTCTAGTCACCCATTAACGGCGCAGAAAAGATAGCCAGACAAATTACAAAAAATCAAAAACCACTTGGTTTAATATCTTGACCTCGGCCACCCTGAACACCTCGGGAATCTTCTTGGCAGTGGCTCCGTATTTTCCTTGATGCAGTTCTTTAAATAGGTGCTTATCGTCACAGCCGCCATTGCCTAGTCCCCTTGCTTCCGCTTTTGATGGCGTCTGGCCTGGTTCGAGTCAGCTGCATTAGATGACCGGAACTTAATTGTTCCTCTACTAGATCGGTGAAGCACATATATTCATCATAGTTCCGATCTCAACCGACAAAGCAAGGAGCTCGTGGACTAGTGGTAGAGTATTGAACTCAATGACCAAAGGTCCCGGGTTCAAATCTCGGGGGTTCCAACCCTTGAGATTGGGTATGACTGGTTGATGTTGGCTAACAAGCCAGAACTGGCCATTCCGGTCTCCCTTTGCTTTGTGGGATCCATTTAATCATACCATCATAGTCACGATGTGACGGTCTGGCGGGTTCACGTTGTGAGCTCCTGGGCAAAGTGGAACTTAATTGTCCCTCTACTGGATCGGCGAAGAACATATATGCGTCACGTTTATATGTATTTGGGAAAATAATTTTAGAACTTATTACTTGCATTAATTGGAGGTGGGTGACTTGAAAATGACTTTTTAGGGTCAGGATCGATATTTCTACGAACATTATAGTCGAAGACAATCAGCGTTTGTGGAACCACGCAAATGCCCATTCTACAGACGAGTATTACAACAAGAAGTATGAATTCTATATGGCAAAGATGTTATACCATACTTCCGACATGGGTTTTAGCTAAAAGCCCAGACACATTCTTGGCCTATGTTTCTGTAGCTATATGATAGGGAAATAATAGTTAGGGGAGTTTGGCAGATCTGCTTAATTCAGTTGACCGGATTGTGAAAAATTCGCGGCCTCGGTAGGAGTCGAAACCACACAGCAGGGAAGGCTTTGCGAAGCCAATGCTCTACCATTGAACTACGAGGCTCATCGTGCGCCGTGAATTTAATCCCACTTATATCGATTTTACCCGCCCAACTTACTGCTTGCATGGAATCCACCATTACAGAACAGCAAGCTGACTGCCCAGGCAGGATTTCCTAAGCAATCACCTAGAATCCACCAGAATGACTACTAGGCTCACTTGGTTGTTAGGGGCCTGCACGGGCTCTAATTGTGAGCTCCTGAGCGAAGCGGAACTTAATTTTTCCTCTTATTAGATCGGAGAAGCAAATACATTCATCATATTCCCGATGTTAATCGACAAAGTAACGAGCCCGTGATGCAATGGTAGAATGGTAAACTCAATGACCAAAGATCCCGGGTTAGAATCTCGGGGGTTCCAATGATTGAGACTAGCTGATGACGGCTAACAAGCCAGAAATGGCTATTCCGGTCTCCCTTTGTTTTGTCGGATCCATTTCATACATGCAGTATGGCGAGTGCTGCATCTAAAATGCCTAAATTTGTAAAAGTTTACGTATTACTCGCATGCCGGCATGAACGCATTCACGAAAACTTGAAAATACTAATGAACAACATTAGGTAACTTTGGTACTTAAGAGAAGTATAACAAGTACTAAGCGTTTGTTAAAAAAATAAAATGTTCTTGCTAATCTCAAAGTTCCGGAGACGTAAAATAAATTTAAATCTTTTCTTAATTTGAATACATAACGTAACCACTTTCTTTATGCAAAAAGAAGTTTTCTTTAGTCAAAGTATTTTAAAAATATTGTTGTTATTTAAATACAATTACTTACAGATAGACCTTTTAATGTCGATACATTTTCAAGCGTTTTCAGTGCTGTCAAGCTTCTGTACATTAATACAGATAATTTTCGATGTTTACATCAAGGCCTTTAAAATAAGATATAAATTAGGAGCATTTAACCACAAATGAGTTTTTGGATATTAATTTTTATGAAGGTGGCCATATGGACCATATTTAGAAATGCCTCCAAACAGCAAAACACATTTTCGAGCAAAATGAACGTCCGAAACAGAAATCTGATATTGTTATTCCTAAGATTGATCAAAAACTTTCTATAGTAGGTTACCTCTTTAAAAAGCACTTTGATTAGATATTCAGCTGACTAATTGCTGTGTATATAATTTTTGTCCAAGGTAGTTTCAAAATGAAAATGTAGGTTTCTGACCAGTTTTCTATTTTAGCTGAAGATTCACTTTGACTGGAGGTGAAAGAACTCACCTTCCTCCTAATATTGGATTATTTTCCGCCTTAGTGGATTACTTCCAGGCTTTGTTTTAAGCTTGTGAACGCAAGAAGTGTGGCCATATATAGAAAAAGGTATTTATATAATTATGATTCTTCTATCCGTTCCTTTCCTAAATTACGCATAAGTGGAAAGTATAGTTTACAAAAAAGTATATTTACACATGACTTACTTTCAATAAGACCTGTTTTACATTACCTTCACAATAACATATATGGAAACTTTTGCTTATATGACATCTACGCGATGTAGTAAAACAAATGTCGGTTTCTGAAAATAAACGCGATTCCTTAAACTTGACCTCGCTTGCATCTGAGCTATTTCGGACAAAAATTTCCGGCTCTGGAAGGAATATATTTTACACTTTTTTTTACTTATTTTGGAGTTCTTCCGCAGCCCAATGCATATTAATAAAAAGTTTGGTCCTGTTATACTTGATAGCATAGGAAATTCCTTTCATATTAGACTACTCCCAATTTCGTCGAAATTAATGCCTATTACCCTTAATAAACTTAACTAAATGGACGATTTTTCTAACTGAAAGTCTTTCGCAGGATTAAATCTACTCAGCGGATCAAAATAACGTGACAAAATATATGCTAAATTACCAAGTAAACTTTATTTCTTTTGCTTGCAGCGCTCGCCGTCCTGTATATATTTGAATGTATGCGAAGGTACGCGTTCCAGGTGCTTGCATGGGTAGAGGAAAAGACTGGTCGAGCACTGGAACGGTTTGTTTATTGTTCTGAACTTTCGAACTCGTGCAGGTGCTCATCGTCAGAGGTAGCAGCAGCAGCTGTTCGGGCCAGACTTATTTGCATGACACACACAAAAAAGATAGCCCTCAGTGACTTGATCTGATTGCAGGACACAGGACAGTACGCTTTCCATGCAAGGTGTGCGCAGTGCAGGACTTTTGTGGACGCTCGCCAGAAGCCGGGGAAGTACCGACGGGCATAAATAACAAAGACCAGGGGAACTGAGATTACCATTCCTAGCTTATAAGCCGTCGTCAGAGAATCCCACAACCCCACTGCAGCTCGAGCAGTCCTAACCTTTCAAACTGATACAGTCGTTGACCGAGTCTAGCACTGTCGGTTGAGCCATTGGGTTGCGCTCTGTCCACTGCGGTCGAGCACATTCAACGTTATGTAACAGTTACGTCCATCAGGGATGCTACAACCTGCGACGCGGTAGATGCACCGGACCAGTAGGGTGGGTAAATCAGGCCGTTACAGACGTTAATAGGAATGCGTACCCATAAAAAATACCACACACGGAGCATAGGGTGGTTACACGCATAAGTGCGGGGTTTCGCCACGCCACGCCACGCCACGCCAGCTACCTGCGTCATCTTCTATCTCTGGTCTCATTAACTCGTTCATGGAACCAAACAAAGGTAGGTGAGGAAAAGGAGGACGAGAGAGTGCGGTAGGTGCTGTGCAAATTTTTTATCTTTACAAACTAACTATCACGCAAGTTACTACGACCCCTGCGCCAACGATGCTCTGAGGCACATGGTGGACATCGTAGGAAAAATGGTCAAACTGTCAATTCTGATGTTCTCTCAGGTGAAAATCTAGTTCAGGCTCTGCTGCTTGCTGCGATCAAACATAGTCAATTTCACGTCAAAATAATTTTACCGGTGCGGCCTAGTCAAGGGATTGAATAGGGATACCTATTTTGCCTTGAAAGCCTGTTCTAAAATTCTCCTAGGCCAAATTTGAAGCGATTTTCCGTCCCACACTCACGTAAATGACTACTTAAACTTAGATTTAGTTAGGAATCATTAATAACATGAAGTGAACAGACAAGGTTGGAAACTTTGTTTGCACTGGACAGCTATGCATCAT